ACTGTTACAAATAAATTGGTATGGTATGTCCCAGGGCAAACAGAGTCAGTGGTAGGATCACATTGCTGTTATTCAATGTGAGGTGAGGTATACAAATATCAGGAAAAAAAAGACTCCAAATCCAGTTGTGTTGAGCTCTCCTCTAATCTAGTTCCTGAAACCAGCACAGTTTATTTTCCCCTCTGAGTACAACTTGCAAGGTGCTCATTCCAACTAGAGACCACTGCAAATGTATTGATTAAATTAGTGTCCAACACCTTTACTACTTTCAGAACCCAAGTTGAAGAAATCTGTTTAAGACAATAAGAATAGTTATAAAAATACCAAGACATGCAAGTTTGAACTGTCTCCTTCCCTAACAGAATCAACTCACAGCAATGAGATGAAAAACATCAACCTGCATCTGAATTTGTTTTCTCTGTAAGTCTATACTACTCTCCTGCCACATTGTTTATCATTCTGTTGTTTATCTGTACAGAAAATACTCAGCTGTCTTCTTGTCTGCCATCCTCCTCCTCGCTCCGTGCTCTCCGGTGTTACTGTAACATATAATTACTCAGCAGACTTGCTGCCTGTTTCTGTAACTTCAGAAATTCAAATAGACTGTTGGAGTGTGGAGGAGAGCATTGTGGGAGTTCCAGGTGGATTTCTCGATAATGAGATAGCGCAGTGGAGAAGCTGAGTGTTTTAGTAATGGCTGACTGTGAAGGCTCTTCCTGGGAGTTTAATGTAAAACAAACAGGACCGTGCTGACAGCCTGGGAAATACAGATACTGCACGTTTCCCACTTCCTCTTCAGTGCTGCCCCTCCATGAAAGAAAGAAAATTCTCACAATAACTACTATCCCAGAAATGGCTCCTGTGAATCCTAATATGAGACATGATGCTGACTGTTACCTTCATCACGGTCTGTAACTTCTTGATGCACAACCTGAAAACATACCGTCAGGTCAAACTTTATTTTACTTTGCTGAATCTAAAAAAAGGTTATTTAAAAAAGAAGAAAATCAGAGTTGTTGTGTTAGCTTGTTGTTGAACTGATGACCACAAGCACCCCTCCAGTGCTTGAACTGCAAAACACACACACACACACACACACACACACACACACACACACACACACACACACACACACACACACTCGCGTACATCCATTAAATATAACACATGTACTTTGGCAGCAGTAGCTCGGTAGGTTGAGCGGGTTATCCAGTAATCAGAAGGTTGCAGGTTCAATCCTGGCTCTGGACAGAGAATTCTGCTGTAGTGTCCTTGGGAAAGACACTTAACCCACCTTGCCTGCTGATGGTGGTTGGAGGGACCGGTGGCGCCAGTGCTCGGCAGCCTCGCCTCAGTCGATGTGGCTACATTGTAGCTCATCAAGGTCAAGGTCAGCTTTATTTACATAGTACACTTACTGTTAAGCCTGATTCATGCTTCTGCGTCTGCGTCAGTGCGGAGACTCGCAACGCCATTATCTGTCCTTGCGGGCTTGCTTGGAGAGCCCCGCAAGGACGCACGGAGTCGAGCTCTCTTTTCTAAACATCCGTCCGTCGAGACGGAGAACGCAAGCTTGTGATTGGTCAGGGCACCGCTGTCGTCTACACTGCCGCCATTGCGCCTTCAAAAACTTAAAGAGAGCCGAGGATAACTAGCGGCAAACACGGAGAAGATTGAAGAATACTTCGTGAAAAAACTCTAAAAATATGAACGTTTAATTCCCCGTGACTGGAGGAGTGAAAAGATGCGCAGCAGGCATTTTATTTGTGGACGGAAATGACAGGAAACGTGGGTTTAGAGGTGGCGAACGAATGAAGAGGTGGAGGAGAATGAAAGACAAATTTGTCTGTGTTGAAAAGTCTCTTATATACAAAAAACACAATATAAACACACTATCTTGGACCGGATACATGACAGGATACCTCAGAACAGCGCCACGCCCTCTGTTGTCCTGGCAGGGAATTGCTTTGCAACACTCCCCAGGAGACGGAGAAGTAAGAGGGCAAAATGTCTCCTTCCGTGCGCGCGTGTCGCTCCCTGCAGGAGCTGACGGAAAAGCATGAATCAGGCTTTACTCAGGCAACCCAAAGTGCTGTACACAACACACACAAAACACACCCAAAATGAACACGTTAAAAAGTAGACAATGAAAATGATAAAACTCTGAGAGTTGAGAGTAAACAATAACTACATAAAAGCTCAGTAAAACTAGATAAAAGTAAAACAATAACTACGGAGATCAACCAACATTAAAAGCTAGGTCAAACAAATAAGTTTTAAGCAATGACTTAAAATCCTGTAACGCCTGAGCGGTCCTAAGCTGTAAGGGGAGGCTGATCCAGAGCCAAGGGCCAGCCACTGAAAAAGCTCTATCTCCTAGAATCTGCAGACGAGCCTTAGGAATAACTAACAGGGACTGGAAACTACACACACATTCACATCACCACCATTGTGTGAATGGATGACTGATACACTGTAGTGTGAAGCGCGTTGGAGTCCTCTGACTCTGACAGGCGTTATACAAGTGCGGCTCATTTATCATTTATTATCACAGCAAATCTCAGATGAATGATTCTTCTGAATCCTGTCCTTTATGCGCTTACTGTGTCCAGCTCTTTACTACATCCTGACAATATTCTAGGGATGGAGGATGAACGGAAATGGAATGCAGAAATCACAGGACAGAATAGCCATCATAAAGCCACAGCCGCTCTAACCACTCACCTCTCTCTACTTAAGAGATACTCTGTTAGATTCATACTAGCAAACATTCAAAGTGAACTGCTACTATCTTTGCAGGCACCCTACAAGCAGTCTGAGACCACTGAAACGTAAGCCACAACATATTCAGCAACTACATTGATATTTACTTTTCACAAATAAAGCTGGGGAGAAATGATCGGTCCACCAGAAGAGAAGACACCAAAGGGGTAAAAACAAACAGTTCAGGTCTCCATGTGTCCAGGTAGAAAGCAAGTCTTGGACTTTAAGAAACCCTTTTCCCTTGAGTTGATCCACACCACTCAGATAATCACAACTCCAGCACAACTTAAAAACTGAAGCAGAAAAAAGGCCAAATTCAATTTTGAATTTGACAAAGATTTGACTGTTTCACCACTCGGGTGCTCACTTTCACTGTCACTTCTGCCGGGAGATTGGAATATTTAAAAGAGGGCGATGGAGAAGAATGAGCAGCAAAAATCGGGTCACAGTCTGCGTGTGTGAGTCAAACGGCTGGACGGCATCAAAGGCTTCACCACTTTCTGAACTTGCTTCAAGTTCCTGTAGAGAAAAAAGTAACCAAGAGCAAAAGGTGGAACAACTTTTGCTTAAGAAAAAACGAAAAACGAACAGCCAACCAATTTATCCAATACTCTTTGGCAATGTTGCCACAAAGACTCCTCCTGAATATTTGATTTCTTGTGGTATCTTAATATAATGAAATGTTTTTTTGAAACCTAGTGGCTCCACCACAACAGTTTAGCCACACATCTCGTGAAAACTAAAACTAAATAAAAAAAATGTGTTTTTTCTCTTTTCTGTTGACTAAGTTTCGACTTAGAGTCTGATTTTAAATGACAAAAGCAAATTAACTTCTGGTCAGAGATTTAAATTAATAATTAGCTTCCAACATTTGCTTCCATTATCAGTTATTATCTGTTGCCAAGCATGCGATGATTCTTGTGGAGGATTTAGAGTAATGAACTCATACAGAGCAACACAAAACAACTCTCACAAGGGCTCGTCTGGAGATGTTATTGTATTTAATTTAATAAGGTCAAGCTACAAGGGACAAACAAAAGAACATCCAGCAATACCCAGCTGAGGTGATGATGCTCGCTCTGACTGATTTTATCTCCAGGAAGCATGGATGAAGTGTGTGGGGAAATTTGCTCAAGTTGGGGGTAAAAAAAAAGAAGTGAAAAATCCTGTTATTTCCCTTTTTTTGTTTCATACAGTCAGTCTTTGTGCAAAAAGATTAGAAGATTTTAAAGAAGTGCATAATCTTCTTTAACAGCTTATCAAAACTTTAATGATTTGGTGATAAAGAGCACAAAGTTAAGTAGCCGGTTAAGAGGATAACTCCCCAGTGCAGTCTAGTGATTAGTAGATGAGAATTGGGAGACCGAAAATCCGGGTTGCAAATCCCACTCCTGCCACTTATTCACTTTGAGGGAAAAGAAGCTCCGTTTCAGCTTTGGGGGTATTGTCACGGGGTAATCATTTCTGAAAAGTGATAAATGGAGCTATTTTCCTCCACCCATCAGAATCCAGTTCACAACTTTATTTACGTTTTTATTTAATGTGTTTCGACTTAATGTCCGTCACAACCCAATTACAGCTATGGAAGCTTCCTGCTTTCATGAGAAGTGAAGTGTTGATGTTTTATATGCTTTAAGACATCTTCTGATACCATCTGAGCTCTCCACTGAACTGTGCTGGACAGTTTTAATGAGGGTTTACTCCACACGCAGGCATTTATTTATTTACTGACAGAGGGTCAAACAGGTTTTTGTTGTGTAATGTTTTATATTTTTACATATTAGAATTTTAAAATATCCTTTTTAAAATCTCAAATTCAAATATATTAATTTAAATGACTCAAAACTGCCTAAATTGGTGAAAGCACCTGGAATAAAGTTGCTAGCCCATATCTTCCGCTGTCCTCACTATCTGCCCTGCAATAAGGAGTCATTAAGTTTAACAAGGAAAAAGAGGGCATTAATCATCTTGGGGAATCTAAAGACCATTAACTTTGTATGTGAAGCGTAGTTTCTTAGTTCTTAATCAGAATTCTGCAGATATAAATAACATTCTGGATTGCAAAAACAGATAAAAAGTGCTGTCTCGTGCATGTGCAGGTGCAATTATTTGTGAGTGTTTGTGACTTTGAGGAGAAAGAAAGCGAGGAGAAAAATAGGAAGGAAAGTAAAGCAGGTGAGAGGATGGAGGATTGTGGACTGTGGAGAGATAACAGGATTCCAGCGCTGCTTGCTTACCTTTGCTGTACACCACACAGTTGTTTTTGTTGTCTTCTGCTCCCTGCCAAGTCACATTCAGCAGCCACCTGGGGCCGGCGCTCAGCACCACCGGGACCGTGCTCTTCGTCTTCTGGTGGAGGACAGATAACAAACACCAATCGTTTACTTTTTTTGGTGATTAAACAAATATTAAATACAAACGAGTTCCACTCATCGGCTTTGATGGCCTCAAAGAGACTAATTTTAAAAACTAAATGGTTTGCAACTCAGGTTCAGCACAATCCCAAATGTTATGTTCCAGAGAAGATCAGGGCTGGTGTGTGTGTGAGGTCATATTTTTATTACCTTCTGGGGACAATTTCTTGATTTTACTCTGGAACTTGGGACCTTCTGGACTTCTGGAGACATTTGGCTTGTCCCCACAAAGGAAAATCCCCTAAAAATGAGTTTTAGAACTATGGTGTGAGTTAACTTTTAGTTAGGGTTAAGGTTAGGATTAGAACCTTATTGGTTATGGTTAGGGTATGGGTTAGCTGCAATTCAGCCACAAAAATGAATGGAAGTCAATGACAAGTGATGACAAAGGATGAATCTCATTGTGTGTGTGTGTGTGCGCGCGCGATAACTTAGACAATGGATGCAGTAACATCTAAAAAAAAGACAAATGCCTCGAAGAGCCTGTTCTGAGTCAGAAAAAAAAGATAATTCAGATTAAGAGAAATACTCCAGGTGTCATGTAATCATAAAAAAAAAGAAACAGGAATGGGACGGTGACTTTCAGAGAGAAAGAAGTGAGTATTCTGTAGTGAACTTGGGGCACTGTGCCTTGCTATCGCGAGGATCTCACTATTTCCTGAAACAAGCAGGGAAGAATTTAAAGAATCAGTATCCATTTCAAAGGGCGACTGAGGTTATAGTTTTTATAATAAGCCGGAAAATTATTCTGAATGTGTAAGGTCATTTTTCTTCTTGGTCAGAGGTCAAACGTGGAGTTTTATTCTTCAGAGAAAAATAATAAAGGAATAAGATAGAGAGCAACATAATAGATTCACAGTGCAGTGCCACCAGATTGGCTTCCTCCTCAAATGATTTTCTGTTCTCTTTGGCTGCAGTGGAGTTTCTTCTTCTGCTTCTTGTAAAATTATTTTGGGGTGTGTGTGTTTTTTATGTGTGTGGGTGTTGCTAGTCACATCTCAGGCAGCTTTTATTTAAAGCCACAGTGTCAGTCATCTCAGACCATTACTTTTAAACTGTGTCACCCTTAGGGTAACAGATATAGTTTAACTAAAAGAAAACGAGGTGTGTGTGTGTGTGTGTGTGTGTGTGTGTGTGTGTGTGTGTGTGTGTGTGTGTGTGTGTGTGTGTGTTAAACTCAACACTTTTCCATCTGATGGAACTGGGGACAGGAAGACACTGTCCATCTGACTAATGCAAGAGAAAAACACCAGCCCTCTCTGGTGTTACTCACTTATTTCTCCCCCGCAAAAGGCAACAACCTTCGAGGATGAATGCAAATGTCACTTGAGCATGTTAAAGGTCTGAATTGGTTCAGATATGCACAGGAGATGAGCACTGTGCTCCGGCAGCATGCCTGCATGCCCCCTCCTCCTACTACTCGTCCACCCACCCGTGTCTTATTCCATCAACTCCTTAGAGTCGGAGGCTGGAGGACAGAATTATATATATATATATATATATATATATATATATATATATATATATATATGTATATAAAATCTTATTTTTCTTATTCAATACAGTACAGTAATTAGAAGGTTTTGTTTTACCTTCAGCTGAAGGTAAAACAAAACCTTCTAATTACTGTACTGTATTAAATAAGAAAAAGATGATTATGAATCGACACATAGAACAAATATACGGATATACAGAAGAATATATATATATATATATATATATATATATATATATATATATATATATATATATATAGCAAACACTGCTCACGGAGCTAATAGGAATTTCATCTGTGGGAAAATTAAGTCAAAAGGTTCCTTAATATTAAATAATGTATATAGCCCTGCATGTTGGCAGAGTCTGATGCCAAAATGATCAAACACAGACAGTAAATTGCATCTGTTGATATTCTTATTCCTTCTCCTGGCATCTTCTTATCCTCAGCTGGCAGCAGATGAGAAAGAGAGCAAGGACCTCTGTAATTTAAGTCATCCACAATTTCAAATTACCTTTACAATAAAGTCTTCTATTTAGCTAACCTGAAAATCTCACACCCCGTCAAAGGGACCGAGCAGACCGGCCGATTGTTGCCACAACGACTATCTGAAATGGAATCAAATTAACCCTTTCTCAGATCTCCAGACGAGGAGCCATTTCTTATTTAGCAGCGAGAGGCCTCTCTGCCATCTCTCCCTGTGCCTCAGGGGAATTCAATATTCCAGCTGCCCTTCGTGCAGCCAGCAGAGAGTAATTATATTATAACACTACATTAATGAGATATACGTATACACATTTGCTACCTGTCTTTTAGTTACCGGTGTGCAGTAAACATTTTAATTTCAGATCACCGCTTTAATTTAACTGTCAGTCTCACCTTTTTACTTTGGTTCCATTTTGTGGGAAACTGGGGGAGAAAACAAACACTCGGCACAGATTTACATAAAACATAAAGAGTTAGGATATGTGCTGTAAGCACGTCTCACGTACCAGGTGCCACAAAGACAAAGACACGCACGCAAGCTCTCTACAGGATTAAGACTCGACGGCATCACTGCTGAAAGCAGTGTCTGAAAATGCAGTTGAAAACATTTGGAGAACTGTTTCAGTTGTCCAAAGTGACCGAGGCCAGAATAAATGCAGTTGGCCAACCAAAATAAATAAATAAATAAATAAATCACTATTTGCCTGCAGCAAGAGTAGCACCCTGAACTGGATTTACTTTTGCTAGTGGAGAAAACGGAGGGTCTGTGGATGCAGAATACATTCATCGTATGTTGATAAAATATTTTTTTTGCATGAGTAGAAACTGTTAATTTCACCTAATTATTATTTTCTATCTAAAAAATGAAAGTGTAAAGACAATCAAATGAAACACTTTTTTTTGTGTAAGTTGGACCAACTATCATCCCTGAGCCTCTAAGCCTCATGGCCTTCCTCTCTGTGAAGTGTTTATGGTTTATCCACCTTCCACCTTCACTCCAGTGGTTTCAATACTCCTTCTGTATTTTTATTTGTATTTTTTTCTGCTCTGAGCTCTGTTACCGTTGCTCGTGTAAGAGATACAGTGACCGAAACAGTGTAGTCAGCGAGGAAGTGATTACAAACTGATGCGCCAAATTCACTGTAAAATGAAAATCAATATTTCCACAAGTTGCTGCAACATAAAAGATAACCTCTATTGATTTTTCTAGACCTAGGCCTCTGTGATAGCATCTAATATAAATTTTCAGCCACACGGATTTGGATCAGAGCGGAGCAGGGGCTGAACGATAAGTTCCGCACACATCTCTCAGACTTGGATTTTTTCCCCTCCATTCCTCTATTTCCCTCTTCCAAGTGAAGGCTGTACTATTTATAATTGGCCCTGTGTGAGCAAAAGCTTCTATCAGGAATCTGTTCTAATTTTTATTACTGAGAAGCTAAAGCCTGTTCCAGATAATTTGGAAATTTCAGGGGAATTGTGATAGAGCTGATGGCACAGCCAGGCTGACTCCAGAAAGGAGCTAACCTGTAATAGCCTCTGTGGCTGCGCTGATTAAATGTTGCCATAGATGAAAGACCTGCCATCACCGCAATAAATTAACCAATCACACAAATCCCAAGTCGCTACTAATCCCTCCTTGATACCATGATCCTCTGATCAGCTGAAGGAGGTGAAGAAGAAAGTGGCTTGTGACACTCAGCCTCCGTCTCCCTGCTGCCTGTTTCTCTGTGTAAACAACAAGCTAATGATATAACCACTGACCATTTCACCACCGCTCACTACTCTTAACCCACTCCATGGTCAGGGCAGGCGATATCGATACAGACCTTGTGAGGGAATGATTAGTGTCCTCACTGCATACTCTCTCCCACCAAGGTCACTGCCTGCTGTGGCTGTTCTGATCCCACAGCGGCAGGATTTAGACAACTGAGAGATCAAAACCAATCTGTCTGAATACATTGAGACATCCCTCGCTCTTCAAATGCTGTGACTTTACTTTTAAAATAGAAATACAGTTGAGGACAAACACACCAGTTGAAAAAGTCTATTCTGAAAGGTGATCTGGTTACACAACCCCAATAATTTTCCACTTCTGTGTCCTGTTTTGGTATTGCTGCAAACACACACACACACACACACACACACACACACACACACACACACGCACACGCACACGCACACGCACACACACACACACACACACACACACACACACACACACACACACGCACACGCACACGCACACGCACACACACACACACACACACACACACACACACACACAGAAACGTATAGGGTTGCTTGCTGTTTCCAACATGGGTGCCAGGATAAAGGATTTGCACCTGTTTTACCAGTCAGTTTACAGCAGACAGCACACTTACACCTCGATAACGTCCATTGCAATTAGTTGTTCACTGCAATGAAACAAATTGCATGTGGTCAACTGGAAATTTCATTAGGGAGATTTTCCTCCAGCCCTTGTTATCGCTTTGCGTATTAATATTTTCTTAGCCTCAAGGACGGATAAATTACAAGGGTGTCTTTACCTGTTTTTTTTTTTACCATCCATGCTGGCAGAATTTGTGTATATGCTTAACTAGGTGCAGACATTTTATTATTCCACCTTGTCAAAGCAGCTTATTGTAAAAGATAAAAATACCTACATAAAATAAGAAAATTATTGTGTTTCTAAAATCTTCCTTTGAGTAATTTTCACTTTTTACTGAATGGTAACATTTGTTGAAATGAAAGGATACCTACGTAGTGTTTTCATTCCTCTCTCTCTCTCTCTCTCTCTCTCTCTCTCTCTCTCTCTCTCTCTCTCTCTCTCTCTCTCTCTCTCTCAGGCTATATAGCATCTGCTATTGGGAGACTAAATAACAAAAATATGCAGGAATTGCACACTAATTCCCTTTAGAGATGGATCTTGGCTGGTGCCCTGTCATAAATCA